TCCGAGCACGACTTTGTGCACAAGTTTGGCTCTGATGTCGTGGGCGGCTCTAATGATGAGCGCAAGGCCGCGTTCGCGCGCCTCCTTGAGCGCGGCCATTTGGTCTTCGAGAAGAAGACTCATCGCGGGCATCCAGCATACGTGCCACTACTAAAGGTCAGCGGAACCATGGCAGACCTCGGCCCCGCAGATCGCGACCTCGTTGGACCAGCGCTGGTGGAAACGATTCGCTGCAAGGAGCTCACCGAATACGTCTGCAGCGCTGCCCGCGTCCACAACGTGGAGACGTTCATCAGATACCTCGGCGGAGAGGGGGCCGAGAGGCCGAAGAAGCGAGGCAGGATCGGCAGGAAAACTGCAGACGATGCAGAGAAACGCGCCGACCTGGTGCAATCCCTGCGAGCCCAAGAGTCCGCTGCAGACGCAGTGGCGAAGTACGTCGCAGCTTCGGCGGGCGCGGGGCAGGGCGGCGATGTGTCTGAGACAGCACAATTCACTACCACATATCAGATGAAGTTTGATGCGCCGTCCAGAAGGTGTGTGGTTGGCTTCGGTGCCCAGAGCCTGAATTGGTCCGCTCGTCTGGCCGGGCTGGGCGACGTCGACGATTGGGACATCAAGAAATGCACGTTCACGCTGGCCCCGCAGATTGCAGCGAGAGTCGAGTTTGCGTTGGGCCAGCACCCGGCAGCGAAGTTTGAGTCTCTTCGTAGATATTCCACGGACACGGCCGCAGTATGCGAGGAGCTCGGCATGACCACAGAGGATGCTAAAAGCACGTGCGTATCTGTCTTCTGTGGCGGCAATCCGCCCGAAGCGCTCTCCGAGAATAGCTTCCTCTTGGCGTTGGGGCGCGAGGGCATTTATCTTCGCTGGCTTGCTGTCTCATTGAACCCCGAGATGCACGAGGTTTTCGTCAGAGATAGTTCTCGGCGGAGCCCGGCTGCGACTACGTGGTTCTACATGTGGACTTACGTTGAAGATTGCGTCTTATCTGCCTGGGTCGATTTTATCAATACACAAGCCGTGCAGCATTTGAGTTTGAATTTCGACGGCGTCATGGTCGATCCTGGGCGGGTCGGGGATCGGGCAGCATTCAAGGCCGACTCGGAGAAGGCGATCTTGGAGGCCACGGAGTATTCCGTAGAGGTCGCCTTGAAGAACCACGCGCGTTTCCTGGACATGCTCGTCGGCGACGCGGAGACCGTGGCGCGCGACGACGCCACTATTCCGGAGGTACTGCTTGCTGCTGGCAACTGCATCATCCTCATGATGGCCAGGCTGACGGACAACGTCGCCGCGGCGGCGACCATGGCGAACAAGCGCAACAAGGCGAACAAGGACGCTGCAGAGTGCAAGGTGCGGACGTACCAAGATTGCAGCAAACTCATGAAGCAGTTCCTGGTGCCCTCGTTAGATTTCCCGACTGGAGAGGGCAGGTATCTGATCCACACCGAGAATGGCGGCCACCCGCAGTGCGTGGCCGCGACCTTGCTCCAGGATGATGTCTGCCATGTGTTCGTGGGGGAGAAAACGTACGAGACCAAGATTTCAACCGTGCGTCGGTGCTGGTCCGCGTCTGCAGACTCCAAGTTTCTTGCTCAGTTCAAGCTTTCGGCCGTGGTGCTCCCGCCAAACACGCAGGAACAAGTGCTCCTTGATTTGAAAGCGGGCGGATCGGCTAGCGACGGCTCATGCAGCGGCGGCGCGCCCTACACCGAGGGCAAGGGTCTGCGGCAGGACATCGCCGACGAGTTCTAGACGCACTTGGAATTCTGCGTATGCGGATGCAGGCTCTGCAAGAAGAGCGATGCGACTCACGGGGCCATCGTCCATGACCTCCACACCGCGACGACAGTGACGGTCACGCCCTGGCAGTGCAATAGCAAGAAGTGCCGATTGACATACGGCCCCAACTTCGCGTGGGTCGGCGGGCGCAAGAAGAACACTGCTACTCTCGCCGACCTGGAGTGCGCCGGAGTCGTCTTCATCTCAAGTAAGCGCGGCTTCACTTTGAGATACGTGCGGTACTACGAGGCAATGTTGTTCAGGAGCTTCGTCTCGGCCAGGGGCGCAGACTGGGCCCAGAAGGATGTCTTTGACGACGGCGACGGCAGCGGTTGGCAGGGGAAGGAATTCCTTGTCAACATGCGTAAACTTCACAGCCATGCAATCATGTATGTGCTGGCCGTGCAGGAGCTGGAACCGCTCGACAAGCATCTTGACATCTACGTGGAGGAGGACATCAGCGAGAGCGCCCTGAGAACATGCGACGAGCACCTCCACCGGCGCGTCTATCCGCCCGCCAACTCCGCTTCCGTTACTGAGCTAGTGGGCGACGGCCACGAGAAGGTGTTGGCGCGCTGCAGCGGCGGCTGCGGCCTTCCAGGAGGGAAAGTGCTGAAGAGGCCTTCGGCCGCTCGGAAGTTCGCTGGGAAGGCCCTGACGAAAAAGCCCGCTGCCGCGAAGACTCGCTCCAAGCCCGAGCCTGTCGCGAAGAAGGCCGCCGTGATTAAGAGGCCCGCGGCGACCATGGCTGGCACGAAGCGCAAAGCCCCGAGGTCTCTACACCACAACAACGGGTGGTTCATGCTTCTGACCACGAGCGGCCGCGTGGTGGCCGTGACCGAGCAGTCCGCGCCAGAGGGCAACGACGTGGTCAAGTCCACAATCCTCCGGGTTCTCCCGCAGTATCCGAAGGTCAACTGCTTCATGTGCGACAGGGCATGCTCGGCGATGCCTTCGGCGCTCCTGGACGACCAGATCAATCCGATTAAATACTGGGTCGTCGACAGGCTGCACGCCCAGAAGCACGTGCCCACCTGCGCGTGCAACCCGCTGTTCATCCATCGCTTGAAGCTGCGTATCAGCGGACTTAACACCCAGGTGGCAGAGCAGTGCTTCTCATGGTTTCGCGGCTACTCGCGGGTCTTCAACGAGATGTCGCCCAGCCGCCACCGCTTCTTGGTCTTGTACTTCGTTGCCAAGCACAACTCAATGTTGTCTGCTGGCGACACTGATCACCTGGGGCACCCAGCGGCAGCCGCCAGTAAGATTCACAAGAAACCCAGTGGGCATTACCCGTGCGCTTAAAGCGACGGTGTTCCACGTGCGTATAGGGAGGGCGAGCATGCGCGCCGCCATCTGTAAAGGCCTGTCGCGGTTCTGGCGCGCGCAGATGCACTTAAAAAACGCCCCCAAGAAGTTCATATAGGATTTTTTTCAAATCGGGAGACTCCTCTTTGTGTTTTTATTGTATTCTCACATTGTTTTATGGTTTTAGTGTTCTTGTGTTTCCGAGTCAAAAGCGCCCAAAAACCTATGCTAAGTGACGGTTCTAAGCTCCGCTTCATCTCTATACGTCTATGTAGATGTCCTTATGTGGCATGTGTAATATACGACTGCTTGTTACTTTGTTGCGCCATTTGATTGACGTACTATTATGTACACCGCGTGCGTCTTAGTGCATCTGTGCATTGCGTTTTGTGTATATATAGTTTGTTTCTTGCAATGTGTATATTTATGCGTATGGTGTGCGGCGTCGAATGTATTATCTATACATTGTAAAGTCGAACAGCGAAGCAGTCGCCACCAGGTCGGGACGATATTTTTCGACAAATCTAAATATATTATTGATATACGGCCTGTGCGGCCGAGGGGACTCCCAGAACACCCCGGCCTCGGGTTTTCTGGACGGGGGGGGGGTGGGGGGGTGGGGTTTTAGTGCGCGAGGGGGGGTTTGTTGCGCGGGGGTGGGGGTGGGGGTGCGGGGGAGGGGGAGGGTTTCCGCCGACTGCTGCGGCGGGGATTTTCGGAAGGGGGGGTGGGGGGGGGGGGCGACCCCCGGGTTCCGGAGGAAAAGGTTGGCAATTTTCCACAGTAAAGCGGCGGTGGATCGCGCTCTCTCCAAGGTTTCAAGCGTAATTGCGCAATCACACACACGCACACACATACACACAACCACGCACATTTGTTTTTGTATATAGTAGTTGCCTCTGGCCAGTGCCGCCGATCCGGGGGGCTCCAGATTCGGTGATCTTCGCGGCTCTGTGGCCCCCTCCCTCCTCGATTATTCCGGTCCTCTTTCTTCTCGCTGGTTCTCGTTATCCTCTGCCTCCCGCTGACCCGTTTGCGTCGCCTGCTCGCTCCCTTCTCCGTCCTCGCTCGTCCTCGTTCCCGCTGGGGGGTGCCTGGAGAGGTCCCGGGGGGAGTCCTCGGAGGGTTCCGAGGGGAGGGCCCTGGGGGCGGTAGCGGCTAGATCTGAGGGGGCTCCCTGGGACCCCTCGAAACATCTTGGGGGCGCGCAAGGCATTAAGAAAACGCCAGATGGGGGACCCCCCCCCCCCTCCTCCCTCTTGTCCTAGACCCCCCGAAACATTTTGGGGATCCGCAAATCATTCAGAGAACGCCAGATGGGGGACCGCCTCCGCCCTCCCCCCCTCCCTGGCAGAGCCACCCCGGCGACCCCCCCAAGCAGAGCTGAAGCTCTTGCTTAGGCTCAGAGCTGAAGCTCTTGCTGAGGCTCCTTGTAGCTCACACGCCAGATCTGCGGGTATATAGCACCGCGTTGATTGTAGACGATCGGATGCATACCATACATTGCGTCAGATAGTTTGCACCGCGACGATTTCCTGTCGGAGAAAAATCAAATGTACCACCTCCCCTTCTGGCGTTATCCGTACCCACACGGGATATGCAATTTACAGATGATGCTGCCCCATCGCTCTGTCTAAATATGGAGTCGTACCATCCAAGCCACGCTGGATTCGACCCCCCTCCCCCCGCATACTCGTCAAATATAGGTCCAAACCCATCTGTACCAAATATCCACTGCAACAACAAAAGCTTGATAAAATCCTCACGCGCGCGTCGTCGTGTGCGCATGCCGAACCCCCTCAATAACCAAAGTTTCCGCACTTCTTTCAACATCGATTGGACCGAAAACATGTGAAGCTGTTTGTTGTTCAGAATGGTGTCCCCCAGCACGTTTGCGCGTTTTTTTTTCAACTTTTTAAGAAAACCATGCGTTCTTCATGTTCAGCAAAGTCTACCAGACGGACCTCTCGCCTGCGCATGTCGAAATCATTCGAACGCCCTTGCGCGGGTGCTGGGGGAGGTGAGGGCACGATCCCTGTCAAATAAAGCTATGCGGGCCACTCGCACGCGTCGGCCGCGCGCGCATGTCGAAATCCTGCCAACACATTCGTCACCGACGCGTGGACATCATCATCGTCATCGGCGTGATCAGCATCTGCGCCGTCATTCGTGTCGCTACTATCATCATCGTGTCAACCGTTGCCGACGTCGTCATGATGCCGCGCCTGCCGGGACCACAAGCGCGCACGGAAGTGCCCGCGCGCAAACGCGGCTTGCTAGACGCTCTGGGAATTGCCCACGGTCATCGCCACCGCGTCCGCGTCGGTCGCGCCAGACACGCTGGACGCTCTTCGTGCGAGCCTGCGCGGGCTAGCGCGGCCGCAGCGGCGCGCCAGCCAGCGCCAAGCAGCGAGTAGTCATCGCAATCGCCGCCGCATGGGTTTTGCGAATCAAGTTGCGGGTTGCTGGGCGGAACGTTTGCGCAAACAATGGGGTTTACAATTTCGAGCTCGGCAAGGTGAACAGCACTGCGTAGACTGCACCACAAAAAGTGCACCACGTAGCCTGCACCACATATTGCACAACGTATAGTGCACAACATATGTTGCACCACATCGAATGCGCTACATAGATGGCAGCACATAGATGGCACAACATTTATTGCACAACGTATGTTGTACACTATAACTTGCACATTGCTCCACTTACACTGCACAGCGTACAGTGGTGGGAACGTCATTTGGGGCCCACGTTGGCTGACATCTGGTTTTTGTTCGCATATTGTTGTGTTGGTTTCTTCCGAAATTTCTTGACCGATGTAGCTCTGCCGAAACGGATCCCTGCCGAACCTGACTTCTGTCAACGTTTGGGGAAGAGAATCGCCCAGATCCTCCTCGAGTTTAGTTTGTTTTCTGGGCCATAGGTAACCCTGGCCTCGTGCGTCAGTTTGGAGCGATTCTGGCCCTCCAGGGAGGTTCGCAACGAGGCGCAGCGTCGGGAAAACCCAAGGCCTGTCGACCCCTTTCCCCGCGGCCATCTGCGCATCCCGAGTGGTTTGGAGACCTGACAAACATCCAGGAAAACCTGGCCGCACCGAGTTGTTCGACTGTCTAGCTTTTCGGAGCTCGGCCCCTGAGGAGATGGGGATGCTAAGGCTCGGGGTGGCGTGCAGACGGCCGCCCGAGGCCCCCCCCGAGCAGTCCGGGGCGGCTTCAACACCGAACGCCTCAACTTTGGGGCGCGGAACGCCCCAGGGGCGCCGCCGGAGGCGGCGCCAGGGTGTTGAGACCGCCCGGAGACGCCGTGTTGAGGGGGGCCTGTTGACGCCAGGAGGCTACCTCGGTCGGCAGTCTGCGCGCAACCCTCAGCCCTTGCAGGTGAGGAGAAGGAGGAGGAAGAGGAGGATAAGAATGAGGATGGGGAAGTTCAGGAGGAGGAGGAAGAAGACAATGATGATAACCATGGTACTACTACTACTACTACTACTACTACTGCTGCTACTAGTACTACTACTACTACTACTGCTACTACTACTACTACTACTACGATTACGACTACTACTACTACTACTACTACTACTACTACTACTACTACTACTACTACTACTACTACTACTACTACTACTACTACTACTACTACTACTACTACTACTACTACTACTACTACTACTACTACTACTATTGCTGCTGCTACTACTACTACTGCTACTGCTACTACTACTACTACTACTGCTACTACTACTGCTGCTGCTGCTGTTACTACTATTAGTATTAAAATTACTACGAAGGAATGCACATACTCTTAAGCAAACGCATAATGTAATCAATAGTATTCATTATTACTAGTAGCACATATTATATAGTAGTAGTAGTAGTAGTAGTAGTAGTAGTAGTAGTAGTAGTAGTAGTAGTAGTAGTAGTCTAGTAGTAGTAGTAGTAGTAGTAGTCGTAGTAGTAGTCGTAGTAGTTAGTAGTAGTAGTAGTAGTAGTAGTAGTAGTAGTAGTAGTAGTAGTAGTAGTAGTAGTAGTAGTAGTAGTAGTAGTAGTAGTAGTAGTAGTAGTAGTAGTCGTAGTAGTAGTAGTAGTAGTAGTAGTAGTAGTCGTAGTAGTCGTAGTAGTCGTAGTCGTAGTCGTAGTCGTAGTCGTAGTCGTAGTCGTAGTCATAGTCGTAGTCGTAGTCGTAGTTGTAGTCGTAGTCGTAGTCGTAGTCGTAGTCGTAGTCGTAGTAGTAGTAGTCGTAGTAGTAGTAGTAGTAGTAGTAGTCGTCGTCGTCGTCGTCGTCGTCGTCGTCGTCGTCGTCGTCGTCGTCGTCGTCGTCGTCGTCATCGTGGTAGTAGTAGTAGTAGTAGTAGTAGTAGTAGTAGTAGCAGCAGCAGTAGTAGTAGTAGTAATAGTAGTAGTAGTAGTAGTAGTAGTAGTAGTAGTAGTAGTAAGAATAATGGGAGTAAGAACACCACGAAAACTAGTAATACTAATCATCACAGTTCTGAATGAATATTTGATGGTAATAGTACCAATGCTCATAACAACATTAAAAATAACAATAGTGGTGCTACCAATATTAATGCCAATGATGATGATGGTGATGATGCTGATGATGCTGATGATGAGGAGGAGGTTGATGGTGCTGATGATGATGAGGATGGTAATGGTTGTGGTGATAGCGATGGTGATGCTGATGGTGGTGATGATGAAAATGATGCTGCTGCTGATGATGTTGATGATGAGGATGATGATGATGATGACGATGATGATGATGATGATGATGATGATGGTGGTGGTGGTGGTGGTGGTGGTGGTGATGGCAGTGATGATGAGGCTGACGAGGAGGAGGAGTAGCAGGAGGAGGAGGAGGACAAAAGAGAAGAGAAGAGAAGAGAAGAGAAGAGAAGAGAAGAGAAGAGAAGAGAAGAGAAGAGAAGTGTTGGCGGGCCGCAGGCAGCGCCAATGCCCCAGCTCTGGTGCTCCCGTCGCTGACCGGGCCGAAAGGAGCCTCCC